AGGCAAGAAGACTCTGTTATGGAAACTTAGCCACGGTCCGTCAACGTTGACTCCTTAGCTAGATGGGTGTCTTGTGTTTTCAAGACATATTGTGACCCTAAGGCCACCCTATCATTTGTTAAGCTTTTGTAGATCACGTGTCTCCATGGATGGTCTGTGGACCAAGTCAAGAGTTACCACTCACCATTATTTTGTGGTGAAGGAATGTCATGGTCCACCTGAGGAAACTCCTGGTTCTAATCTCAAGGGCAAGCTAGGCAAGAAACCTCTGATATGGAAACGTAGTCACTGTCCATCAACGTTGACTGCTTAGCTAGATGGATGTTTTGTGTGTTTTCAAGACATTTAGTGACCCTAAGGCCACCCTAAGATTTGTTAAGCTTTTGTAGATCACATGTCTCCATGGATTGTCTGTGAACCAAGTCAAGAGTTACCACTCACCACTATTTTGTGGTGAAGGACTGCCACGGTCCACCTGAGGAAACTCCTGGCTCTAATCTCAAGGTCAGGCTAGGCAAGAAGACTCTGGTATGGAAACGTAGCCATTGCCCACCAATGCTGACTACTGAACTAGATGGATGTTGTGTGTGTCTTCAAGTTGTTTCAGACATACAGTGACCCTAAGGCCACCCTAACATGGCATAATACTTTTTTTGGGACCATTTTAGTTCACAAATGCATAACACAGATTGTACACATGGGTCTAAAACTTATTGTTAATCCAAACTAAAATAAAACAATTTAATCGTTTGGATTTGTCAATCCATTTAATAATTATCCAATAGACATGTGTATTCGGGGTAAACTTTGCCCTGTTTCATGTTCCAGCTTTTGTTGCTGTTTCTTGTGAGACTCCCAAAATCGAGAGGGTAGTTTTCGGACCATTATTGGCTCCCCCTCCTGACGTCACTTTACATCCTGGTGCGGTTTAGGGGAGGATGGACCACAGATGATGGGATTTGTGGTTTGGGAGAGGGTTGAATCAAACCGGGGGCAACCAAAAGAACACCTCACTTCCTTTTCAGGGTTGGTATATAGTCTGAAGAAAGGGGCCTCTGGCCTTGTTTGTTCATTCAGGTGGATGAGCTCCCTCTATCAGCTCCAGCTCCTCATGCGGGGACATGAGAGAAGCCTCCCACAAGGATGATAAAAACATCAAATCATCTGGGTGTCCCCTGGGCAACGTCCTTGCAGACGGCCAATTCTCTCACACCAGAAGCGACTTGCAGTTTCTCAAGTCTCTCCTGACACGACAAAAAAAAATCTTATACCTAATCCAGATTCCTTTTCCCTTTGGCCTATTTTATGTAGCTCAGACTGATTACACTTCTGCTCCTTCAAGTATTCTCTTAAGAGTGTCCAATCCGTTTTACGTCTCTCCGACTGGTCTTGGAGTAGAAATGTTAGATAATCCAGATCCATGTAGTTTCTTAATTTACTAAACCAATTTTCAATTGACGGGATTTCTTGTAAACGCCACTTCTGAGCTAGGAGAGATCTTGCTGCGGTCGTTAAATAAAAGTATATTTTATTGTTATTTTTATCAAAACCGGTATTTGTTAGGCTCAGTTAGTAATATTCTGGTTTAAGATTGAATGTAATTTTAAAAATTTTCTGGGAATGGCATGCTCGGTACCTTGGCGATGATGATGATGATGATGATGATGATGATGATGATGATGATGATGTGTACACAGAACAAAACAATTTTACGTATTTACAGAGGCGGCCCTAGGTAATTTTCAGCGGTAAGCAAACAGTATTTTGCTCCCCCCGCCCAACCAATCACTGATATATATTTTCTGTTCATTGTGGGAGTTCTGTGTGCCCGTATTTGGTGGAATTCCATCATTGGTGGAATTCAGAATGAATGTTCAGAATGCTCTTTGATTGTAGGTGAACTATACATCCCAGTAACTACAACTTGCATATGTCAAGGTCTATTTCCCCCCCAAGAGCGCCTCAAGAGCGCCCTTGGCCAAAATCAACTATACTGCAAATGCTTACTTTGCGTAATGGGTTGAGCTGCCCCTGCGTATTTATCTACTCCTTCCTTAAATAGTAATTGGCTGCTGTGTTTCCAATTATAGCAGTTAGAAAGGGTGAAATTTAGAATGAAATTTAGAATGATGCGAATATAATAAAGGAGGGAGTGCTCTCCCAGCATCCCTTTCCTCTTACTACTGCTTGAGTAGGTAGACTTTGGAGGAGAAAAGGAGCGCCAGACACCACTAAACGGTTGTTTTTCTTCACAAGAAATTGTACAGTTCCAAAAACAAGTTCTCATTATTTATATATTTATTTACAGTATTTATATTACTCCCTTCTCACCCCGCAGGGGACTGAGGGCGGGTTACAATGTACACATATATGGCAGACATTCAATGCCAAAGACACACAACAGATATAGACAGACAGTCAGAGGCTATTTAACTTTTCTGGCCACCAGGGGAGCTGTCGCTTTCATCATCCATCTGCGACACTGATGAAGTACTTCCACATTCCCCGCATGCTTTTGCATTTTTATGGCCTCGTAAATTAGTTAAATTAGCCTCCCCACACATAGGTGGTACCTAATTTTCCTACTTGACAGATGCAACTGTCTTTCGGGTTGCAAAGGTCGACAACAAGCTACCCAACTGGTTGGAAGCTCACTCCGATCCGGGCTGGCTTCGAACTCATGACCTTTTGGTCAGAAGTGATCTTAATGCAGCTGACACTCAGCCAGCTGCGCCCCAGTCCCATAGAAGTTGCTGCTCCGCGAGTTGAAAAACCTGTTGTATAAAAGCTGGAGGGAGATTCAGGCCAGTAAGTCCCTTTAAGGCATGGGAATTCTGCGTGGGAAGTTTGGCCCAATTCTATCGTGTATGGGGTTCAGAATGCTCTTTGACTGTAAGTGAGCTATACATCCCAGCAACTACAACTCCCAAATGTCAAGGTCTATTTTCCCCAAAATCCACCAGTGTTCCCATTTGGGCATATTGGTCCAGATCTATCATTGTTTGAATCCACAGTGCTCTCTGGATGTAGGTGAACTACAACTCCCAAACTCAAGGTCAATGCCCACCAAACCCTTCCAGTATTTCTGTTGGTCATGGGAGTTCTGTGTGCCAAGTTTGGTTCAATTCCATCATTGGTGGAGTTTAGAATGCTCTTTGATCATAGGTGAACTATAAATCTGAAAGACCTTGTCAAGCTGCAACTCCTCCAATCCCATAGCACTGAGCCATGGCAGGGAAAGTGGTATCAAATAACATTAGGCCTACAATTTAGCATGAAAACTGACAGTCAACAACCCATTTTGCCCCCTCTCTGGTGGTTTCTTTTGATTTTAATAATAATTCTTATTGAAAGAAAAATCATGATAGTATGGACAAACAGATGACGTGTCTCCTTTGGGAGAGGAAAAGTGGGATATAAAGAAATATAATTATGATGATCATGATTATTAAAATAAGGATACCCGGCGGTGCTTGGGTTATTTGAAAAGGGCACAGTTTGTTTTGGGGTGTTAGTTCATATAATAATAATATTTCTTTATATGGCCAGTCATATGACCATTTCAAAATAGAACACGGGTAAAAAAACAAGGCAAAAAGGTGAGGACATATCATTTACTTAATTAGTAACACTATTTATTAGGGAAAAGTCAGTCCTTGATTTCATTTTTTGTGAATGCTCCCATTAGAAAATACGCAACGATGTGGGTGAACTGCAGTTCCCAGAATCGTGGGTCAATCCTCTCCAAAGCAGGCCTGTATACACAGTTGGCTATGTTGGGTGTGTGTGCCAAGTTTGGTCCAGGTCCATCCTCAGTTGGGCTCAGTGTTCTCTGGATAAGGGTGAACTACAACTCCCATATGCCAAGGGCAGTCACCTCCAAATCCTGCCGATATTTACAGTTGGACAGGGAGCCCCAAGGAGTTTGTAATGTATTAATAGATCTATCCAACTCCGAGACAGGTTCACTAATACATTCAGAGGCGGCCCTAGGTAATTTTCAATGGTAAGCAAACAGTATTTTGGCGCCCCCCCCCCCCAACCAATCATTGATATATATTTTCTGTTCGTCGTGGGAGTTCTGTGTGCCATATTTGGTTCAATTCCATCATTGGTGGAGTTCAGAATGCTCTTTGATTGTAGGTGAACTATACATCCCAGTAACTACACTTGCCGCATTTGCTCCCTTGCCTGGCCCGCTTTGGGTCCGGAGGCGTGCCTGAAGACCCCGGCGTGTGCACCAAAAGTCACCTCTTCTCCTGACTTTCTCCTCAGCCATTGGGACCAAGAGAGAGAGAGAGAGTGGAGATGCCCACCTTTCCTGAAGGTAGGTGCAAAAACAAAGGAGGGAGCGGAGGTGGGAGATACCTCCAGCCGGAGGGGCTCTCTCTCTCTCTCTCGGTCTCAATGGCTGAAGAGAAAGTCAGGAGAAGAGGCAACTTTTGGTGCGCACGCTGGGGTCTTCAGACACGCCTCCGGACTCGAAGCGGGCCAGGCACGGCCACTCCGCCCCTTGGCCCACCCGCGGATTGGGGAGAGGAGGCAGGTGGAGCGCCGGGGGATCGGAAAAGGGAGCCGGTCATGTGGAAGGGATCGAACATGGAGAACGATTGAGCACCAGCTCTGCTCGCGCACCCGGTGGCCAGGTGGAGCAGGAACAAGAGGGGCTAGGCGAGGCTAAAGGGCCCGGTCCCTTTGGGAAGAGGATCGCCCAGCAGTGAGGCAAGAAAGCCAAGACTCCCCCCGGACTGCTAGAACTGTTGTGAGCTGAGGGGGCGCTCCTCAAGTGACAGTCGAGGGGCATTTACAGAGGCACCTCTGTGCCCCTGGCAAAAAAAAAAGTGTTCTGCGACCGCTTACTTCGCGTAATGGACGAGCCGCCCCTGAATACATTACAATCACAATGCATTGTATTGCATCAGCCATTGGATTGCATCAGCCAGTGACACTGCAATGCGGCATTACGTTTACCAATATTTCTCACCTCTCCCTGCAAACAGGTGGTTTCATGGAACCATTAGCCGCGCTGACGCCGAGTCCCTCTTGACCCTTTGCAAAGAAGGCAGTTACTTGGTCCGGAACAGTGAAACCAGCCGCAATGACTTCTCCCTCTCGCTTCGGTAAGATGCCCTTGTCCTTTCCTGTCTCCTTTTGGTCATTGTTGCCCTTCCTCTGGGCTTTGTAGATGAGGATCTTAAAGCAAAGGCAGCGCATCCAGCATCTTTTCCGTGGTGACCCCCAATAACAACAACAGTCGAGGCTGGTGCCTTCCATGTCAGACCTTTGACCTTCTTTGATCACCTTCCCATTGTGCATGTGGCAGAGCTCAGACCGCATTGTAAGTGATCTGTGGTTTGCTCTTGTCCACACCCAAACTCCACTTTGGGGCCCCATTTCGTAAGATTGTCTCTGCACCTTGTTGTGACTCAGCTGGAACCACAGAGTGCCTCTGATGAGGATGATGGGATTCAGGATCACAATCTGGTTCAAAATGTCCCTGTTATAGTCAATGAGGAACAGGGTGTGGAAGTTCAGTTTCCCACAGCAAGAGATGAGTTTGTTGATACTGAAACTAGCCAGGTGCAAGTGCAAATTGACTCAGAAAAGGAGGACAGTTCTCAGCCTGATAATGAACAGGAAAGCAAACTGGATAACACTAACGAACAGACTGACTTTGACGAAACGGGAACCTTAGATCGAGCTGACTGTTTGGAATTCAGAGTTCGAAGGAGTGTGAGAATAGCTAACAAGAAGGATAGATGATAGGCTGAGTGGGTTTGGACTGGATGGCCCTTGGGGTCCCTTTCAATATGATGATTCTATAATTTTTGATAATAGATAGTCATGAGAGAGAGAGAGAGAATTTGTTTGTGTATTTCTGCATGGGTTGGACTGGATGACCCTTGGAGTCCCTTCCAAATGTATGATTCCCCAAATATATTATTTACACCCCACCTTGGAACTGTAAAGTTCAGAATAAATTGCAGAGTGGATTCTCCATTGCATATGCCAGAATCTCTCAGGGAAGACGGAGAACACCAAAGCAACATCTGAGTTACTATCCGAAATGAAAGGTCAGGTCTCTGCATGATCATTTCTCTCCGTCTCTATATAGCCTTCGGTGTATAGCTTTGGTGTCACAGAGCCGCGTCCTTTGGCAGCTGGGCTTGGCCTGACATTAAAAGTCGCCCCTTCCCTCTGGCGCCAATTCGACACTCAGCTGATGATCTACGACAGGCCTTTTTCCACGGCATTGGAAAGGAGGAACAACACAGGGCCTTTACCCACTCTAGGATTCTTTGGAAGTCTTTAAGCAGCAGCTGAATGGCCATCTGTCAGGAGTAATCAGACGGTGTCTTCCTTTATGGCAGAAGGAGGTTGGAAGGGATGGCTTGGGGGATCCCTACCAACTCTAGGATTCTACAATTCTATGAGTATATCTTTGGGAGTTTTGAAACAGAAGCTGGATGGCCATCTGTCAGGAGGGCTTTAATTGTGCCTTCCTTAATGGCAGAATGGGGTTGGACTGGATGACCCTTGGAGATCCCTTCCCACTCTAGAATTCTATGATTCTATAGGGTGATTTCTCCACAGACGAGCTAATATCAATGAGACTGGATGGCCATCTGTTGGGAGGGCTTTGGTTATGTCTTCCTTCATGGCAGAATGGGGTTGGACTAGATGACCCTTGGAGATCCCTTCCCACTCTAGAATTCTATGATTCTATAGCGCAATTTCTCCACGGACATGCTAATATCAATGAGGCTGGATGGCCATCTGTTGGGAGGGCTTTGATTGAGTCTTTCTTAATGGCAGAATGGGGTTGGGCTAGATGACCCTTGGAGATCCCTTCCCACTCGAATTCTATGATTCTATATCCTTATTTATCCATGGGCCTGCTAAGATCTGAGGCTGGATAGCCATCTGTCAGGAGGGCTTTGATTGGGTCTTTCTTAATGGCTGAATGGGGTTGGACTGGATGACCCTTGGAGATCCCTTCCCACTCTAGGATTCTATGATTCTATAGCCCTATTTCTCCACGGACCTGCTAATACCTATGAGGTTGGATAGCCATCTGTTGGGAGGGCTTTGATTGTGTCTTCCTTCATGGCAGAAAGGGGTTGGACTGGATAACCTTTGGAGACCCATTCCAACTATATGACTGTATGATTCTTTCTCCTGCCTTTGGAGATTTTGGCTATCCACGCGGGTGTTTGACTCTTTACCTTTTTTCCTCTCCCGCCACAGGAGCAGCCAAGGCTTCATGCACATGAAGTTCACCCGGACCAAGGAGAACAAGTTCATCTTGGGCCAAAACAGTGCCCCGTTCGACAGTATCCCGGAAGTCATCCACTACTACACATCCCAGGAGCTGCCGGTCAAAGGGGTGGACCACTTTGCCTTGCTTTATCCAGTGGCCATCCAGACTCTGTGACGGGTGCTGTTTTTGGCCTCAGACTTTGCAAAAGTCCGAGAACGGTTTTTGATCCAAAGAGACTCGGCGCGATGATCCTCCAGACCGAGGACAATCCCTTCCTGTTCCCTCATTTCCCCCGATTTCCAAGCAATAATGGTGTCAACATGCTTCCAAACAGCCCATCTATCATCCCAAATTCCCTTTTTTGAAGTTATTGCTATCCTTTCTTCCCCGGTTTGTTGGAAGGCTGACATAACTTTGCTCGCTGCTGAATGATCGTCAGTAAGGTCTTGCAAAGTGTACTGGAGCCTTATTGCAGAATGCACAGGAAACACAGCTGGAAAAGACCCCCAAAAGAGCCCCTTCTGCCACAATCAAAGCCCTCCCGACAGATGGCCATCCAACCTCATAGACATTAGAAGGTTTGTGGAGAAATTGGGCAATAGGGTAATAATAATAATAATAATAATAATAATAATAATAATAATATACTTTATATTCTCCTCAATGGGAATCAGAATGCATATATGGCAAACATTCAGTGCTGTTAACAACAACAACACACAGTACACAGACAGAGGCCAAGGCTTCCCCCTTTTCATCTCCAGCATCTGGATGCTGTGCTCAACTCCCGCCATGAGGAATTACTCTTTTTCCATTTTCCATGCCAAGGAGCCTGTTGTCCATAGACGCCTTCCTGATCAAATTGCCGGTATATCTGCATGGGTGCCTTTTACCTTCCTGCCAAAGCGGTACCTATTGATCTACTCACATTATTATTTTCAAACTGCTAGTTAGGCAGGAGCTAGAGCTACCAGCGGGAGCTCACCCCACCTGCGGCTTGAACTACCAGTCTTCCAGTCAGCAAGATTTTCTGCAGCTGGTGGTTTAACCCACTGTGCTACCATGTCTCCATAAGCTCTCCAAGATACTGAACCCATGGTTAAGCTCAAAGCAAGTGCTCACTTAGGGATACCCCAACTGAGCTCCCCAAAGTGAAGAACCCGCTTAGGGATACCCCAATGGAGCTCTTCAAAGGGATTAACAAAATTAGGAACACCCCAATGCAGCTCTCCAAAGGGAAAAACCCACTTAGGGATACCCCAAGTATGTCTCCATGGGTGCCTTTTACCTTCGCACCAAAGCGGTACCTATTGATCTACCCGCATTATTATTTTCAAACTGCTAGTTAGGCAGGAGCTACAGCTACCAGAGGGAGCTCACCCCACCTGTGGCTTGAACTACCAATCTTCCAGTCAGCAAGATTTTCTGCAGCTGGTGGTTTAACCCACTGTGCTACCATGTCTCCATAAGCTGTCCAAGATACTGAACCCATGGTTAAGCTCAAAGCAAGTGTTCACTTAGGGATACCCCAATTGAGCTCCCTAAAGTGAAGAACCCGCTTAGAGATACCCTAATGGAGCTCTCCAAAGGGAAAAACCCACTTAGGGATACCCCAAGTATGTCTGCATGGGTGCCTTTTACCTTTCCACCAAAGCGGTACCTATTGATCTACTCGCATTGTTATTTTCAAACTGCTAGTTAGGCAGGAGCTAGAGCTTCCAGCGGGAGCTCACCCCACCCGCGGCTTGAACTACCAATCTTCCAGTCAGCAAGATATTCTGCAAGCTGGTGGTTTAACCCACTGTGCCCAGTGGAGTTCTCCAAAGTAAATAACCCACTTAGGGATAGCGCAGCTGAGCTCCCCAAAGTGAAGAACCCGCTTAGGGATACCCCAATGGAGCTCTTCAAAGGGATTAACAAAATTAGGAACACCCCAATGCAGCTCTCCAAAGGGAAAAACCCACTTAGGGATACCCCAAGTATGTCTCCATGGGTGCCTTTTACCTTCGCACCAAAGCGGTACCTATTGATCTACCCGCATTATTATTTTCAAACTGCTAGTTAGGCAGGAGCTACAGCTACCAGAGGGAGCTCACCTCACCCGCGGCTTGAACTACCAATCTTCCAGTCAGCAAGATATTCTGCAAGCTGGTGGTTTAACCCACTGTGCCCAGTGGAGTTCTCCAAAGTAAATAACCCACTTAGGGATAGCGCAGCTGAGCTCCCCAAAGTGAAGAACACAATTAGGGACACCCCAATGCAGCTCTCCAAAGTGAAGAACCCACTTAGAGACACCCCAACGCTGTTCTCCCAAGTGAAGAACACACTTAGGGATAGTCCAGTGCAGCTCTCCAAAGTGAAGAACCCACTTAGGAACACCCCAATGGAGGGCTTCAAGTTGACAAACCCGTTTAAGGATACTCCACTGAAGCTTCCAAAGGTGACAAAGCCGTTTACGAACATCCCAATGGTGCTCTCCAAGACCCTGAAGCCTTCGAGGGATAGCAATGGCATTCTTCAAGGTGATAAACCCATTTAGGTAGGTATACCATAAGGGTGCTTTCCAAGGTGCCCAACTCATTTGAGGACACCTCAGTTAAGTTCTCGAAGACGATGAACCAATTTAGAGATACCACAAGGAAGCTCTCCAAAAAAAGTTGGGATACCAGTGGAGCTCACCAAGGCACTGGACCCATTTAGGGACACTCAAATGAAACTCTCGAAGGTGCTGAACCCATTTAGTGACACCCTAATGGACCTCTCCAAGGTGCTGGATATATAATGAGGCCAACCCTAATAAATAATATAATAATATATACTTTATTTATATTCTGCTCTATCTCCCTGAGGGGAATCATAGCGGATCACAGAATACATATTGTATATGACAAACACTCAATGCAGTTATACAATTAACAACAAAAAAGACAGTACACAGACAGAGGCAAAGGCTTCCATCTTTTCATCTCTGAACACAACACAACACTGACTTCTAAAATGGAGTCTTGGTCTGAATAGCCCCAGATCACATGGTCTGCAGTCCCTCCCACAGCCCCAAACAACATAGAGTTAAGGGAAAATTGCAACCAATAGGGATATGCAATATGGGTTGAATAGGCCAGAGATAGCATAGCATGGGACTAAAATATCAATAAAGAGTGCTTCCAAATAGCTCCCATACATCCTGGAAAAAAGTAACTAATAATAATAATAATAATAATAATGTGGTTTATTTATATTCCACTCTTTCTCCCCGAGGGGACTCATAGCAGATTGCAGAATACATATATGGTAAACATTCAATGCTGTTATACAATTAACAACAAAGACAGTACACAGACAGAGGCAAAGGCTTCCCCCTTTCCATGTCCGGCATCTGGAGGCTGTGTTCAACTCCGGCCATGGGAAAGCTCTCTTGTTCCATTTTCTATGCCAAGGAGCCTGTTCTCTGTGGACACCTTCCTGATCGAATTGCTGGCATGTCTGCATGGTGCTTTTTATCTCCCCACCAAAGCAGTGCCTATTGATCTACTCACATTATTGTTTTTGAACTGCTAGGTAGGCAGGAGCTAGTGCTGAAGGTGGGAGCTCACCCCAATCCACGGCTTTGAACTGCCAACCTTCCAGTCAGCAAGATTTTCTGCAGCTGGTGGTTTAGTCCGCCCATAAAGTTATAGAATCGTAAGGGATGCCCAAGGGCCATCCAATCCAACCTGCTTCTGCCAGGTGGGAAGACACAATCAAAGCCCTCCTGACAGATGGCCATCTGTTGAGAAACCCCCAAAGAAGGAATCCCAAAGGGTCAGAGTATCTTCCTGTGTCGAACAATTCTCACCCCTCGCAATAAGAACACCCGTTCCAGGATTTACAAGAACTCTCTTGGAGATCGCCTTCAAACCCAATGGAAAACTGAAAGGATCCTCCGGCCAACACATTTTGGAGATACCAATTAGTATAATACATGTTTTCAGTCTGGGGTTTGAACCCTCTGCTTGTCTCTCTTCTCTCCACCTTTGTCTCATGTTTCCTCTGTGTCTTCTGTGAAACTGTTTCTTCTGTCCTGTGTGTTTTTTCTGGTGCAATATATCCCTCCTACTCCCCAAATCCCTTGGCATTATGGTGTTGCCTTTCGATTAAAGTCTTCAATCCATGTGGCCTTCTGATTGTTTTCCACTGATATATATCGTATCCAGTGTGATATCGTGCCCTTCTGGGCTGGATGAAGAAGAGGACAGTGTCGGCATCCAGGGAAGTCATAGTAGTCTTCGGTTGTATCACCTAGAATATAAGATGGAGATTTATTTATCATTTATCATGTCAGAAGTGAATTGAGAATATAGTTATAATCTGCATCTGCTTGTCCGATTTTGTGGGATTCCTTCCGACTTGTTCTTCCTGAGGACGTGGAGGAGGTCCTCGGTGCTGTGAGGGCGACCACGTCGGCCCTGGACCCTTACCCGTCTTGGCTAATTAAATCGGCCAGGGATGGGTTGATTGATTGGTTTGTGTTGATCATTAATGCATCGTTGGAGCAGGGGATTTTTCCATCCCGATTAAAACAGGCTGTGGTCCGACCACTCCTGAAAAAGACTTCCCTTGACTCCACGGTGCTGAGCAACTACAGACCAATCTCCAACCTTCCTTTTTTGGGCAAGGTGCTGGAGCGGGTGGTCGCCTCTCAGCTCCAGGGCTTTCTGGATGACATCAACTATCTGTACCAGTCACAGTCTGGTTTCAGGCCTGGCCACGGCACCGAGACGGCTTTGGTCGCCTTGGTGGATGACCTCCGCAGGGAGCTGGACAGGGGAAGTGTGACCCTGCTGGTTCTCTTGGATATTTCAGCAGCTTTCGATACCATCGATCATGGTATCCTTCTGGGACGACTCTCTAGTGGTTCGTCTAGTGGTTTTTGAGGTCTGTTAATCCCACAAACGAACATTAATTTTTTTATTTATATATAGATTATTATTTTGAGAAATAGCTAAAGGACCTGGAGAAAAGAAGAGTACAGTCAGCTCCATATCCATAATGATGTGTTCATGGATTCATACAGGTAAAGGACTCCAAAGGTCATCCAATCCAACCCCCTTCTGTCATGTGGGAAGACACAATCAAAGCACTCCCAACAGATGGCCATCCAGTCCAACTTCTTTCTGCTAGGCATGGGCACAATCAAAGCCCTCCTGAGAGATGGCAATCTGGCCTCTGCTTCAAAACCGCCAGAGAAGAAGACTTCATCACACTTCTTTCAGGGTGAAAGAGCTCTTCCTAATGTTTCAGTGGAATTTCTTTTTCTGCAGTTTCAATCCATTGCTCCCTATCGTAGTCTCTAGAGCAGTGGTTCTCAACCTTCCTAATGCTGCGACCCCTTAATACAGTTCCTCATGTTGTGGTGACCCCCAACCATAACCCTAACATTATGAATCGCCATGTAAATAATGGTCTTCAGGATGTATTTCCATTCACTGGAGCAAATTTGGCACAAATACCCGGTATGCCCAAATCTGAATACTGGTGGGGTTGGCGGGGGAATTGATTTTGTCATTTGGGAGTTGTAGTTGCTGGGATTTATAGTTAACATGTAAACAAAGAGCATTCTGAACCCCACCAACAATGGAATTGAACCAAAGTTGGCACAGAGAACTCCCATGACCAGGAGAAAATACTGGAAGGGTTTGGTGGGCATTGACCTTGAGTTTGGGAGTTGTAGTTCGCCTACATCCAGAGAGCACTGTGGACTCAAACAATGATGGATCTGGACCAAACTTGGCATGGATACTCAATATGCCCAAATGTGAACACAGATGGGTTTAGGGAAAATAGACCTTGACATTTGGGAGTTGTAGTTGCTGGGATTTAGAGTTCACCTACAATCCAGGAGCATTCTGAACCCTACCAATGATAGAATTGGGCCAAACTTCCCACACAGAACCCCACGACCAACAGAAAATACTGTTTTCTGATGGTCTTTGGCGACCCCTCTGACACCCCCGCACGCCCCTCAGGGGTCCCGACCCCCAGGTTGAGAAACACTGCTCTAGAGCGGCAGAAAACAGACAGATCCCTTAGTCAATAGGATAACCTTTCGAATATTGAAACATGGCTCTCGTGTTCACCTGCTCTTCTCCAGATCTTCCAAATGAGAGGATGGAGCCAAGGAAGCAATAAAAGGAAATGCAGCCAGGTTTACTGTGCCCACAAAGGCCTTGAAAGGACTCTAGAAAGTGTTACAGACAGACAGTATAACAGCACTTTGAAAAGCTATCAACAAAACGGAGGTATTCCTCTGAATCGGCAGGTATTTCACCTAATTTTCTCTCTCTAATATTTGTCTGAAAGGGGGCGTGATGCCATTTGTGAACAGGAGGGTGCCCAAATGGATGGAGTGAGGAAAGCAACACGCCAGCTTGTGGCATATGCTTCAAGAGGTGCCAAGGCATCACTGAGAGAGGCTTTGGGGAGCGGAGAGCAGCTGTCACTCTGACTTCTGTGTCTTTCCATCTCTCCCCCCTTTGCCTCCTCCTGCCCCACTTTGCCCTGGCTCCATCCCAGCATCCGTCTCCTGGAGGACACCTGTCTCCATAGAAACCAGACTTCCCCGCCAATCCCGCCGCCTGTCACTTCAAGGTGAAAGAGGCAAAGGAGCAGAGTTATGGTGGTCCCCAGGCTGCCTGCACAGTTCTCCCCTCCCTCGCTGCCCAAAGTCAGTTTCCTTTGTGCTTCTCTCCTCCTCCCCACCCCCCTTCCTTTCAGCAGCAGCAAAGTGGAGTCTCTGGGTTGAAAGGAGAGCAAAGATGGAGCCTTAAATCAAAAGGTCATCATCAAAATAATTTATTGTATGGGCCCAAGGCCATGACAAAAAGCATCACATGCACACAGTAGTACATGAAGCAACAGGCACCAAAGATGCTAAACAGAAGCCATAATCATGCTCCCACAAATTGCAAAAACAATGCAAGTTAACAATATTTAAAGTACATTTTGGGAGAGGGTCCAGTTAATTATTATTATTATTATTATTATTATTATTATTATTATTGTTGTTGTCGAAGGCTTTCATGGCTGGAATCACTAGGTTCTTGTGGGTTTTTTCGGGCTATAGAGCCATGTTCTAGAGGCATTTCTCCTGACGTTTCGCCTGCATCTATGGCAAGCATCCTCAGAGGTAGTGAGGTCTGTTGGACATAGGAAAATGGGTTTATATATCTGTGGAATGACTGGGGTGGGGCAAAGAGCTTTCTCTGCTGGAGCTAGGTGTGAATGTTTCAGCTGATCACCTTCATTAGCATTTGAAGGCCTGCCTGAGCCTGAGCCTGATGGCAAGCATCCTCAGAGGTAGTGAGGTCTGTTGGAACTAGGAAAAAGGGTTTATATATCTGTGGAATGGCTGGGGTGGGGCAAAGAGCAACAATTATTATTATTATTATTATTATTATTATTATTATTATTAACTTTATTTTGTTGTTGTTGTTCATTCGTTCAGTCGCCTCCGACTCTTCGTGACCTCATGGACCAGCCCACAACAGAGCTGGAAGCTCCCTAATCCACAGCAGCAGTAGCAGCCCTTAGGAGGGACTGTTTGTTGTTGTTCATTCGTTCAGTCGTCTCTGACTCTTCATGACCTCATGGACCAGCCCATGCCAGAGCTCCCTGTCGGCCGTCACCACCCCAAGCTCCTTCAAGGTCAATCCAGTCACTTCAAGGATCCCATCCATTCATCTCCCGCTAAAATCTCCCGAAGGACTTGATGCGGCTTACAAAGGCCAAGGCCACCAACAACAACAGCATACAAATACAACAATAAAACTCATAAGCAAATAATAAAACATCAAGCAAAACAATAAAACACTAAAAACAATAACACCATGACGCATTTAAAACCTAAGGCCGGGCCAAATGTAATAGACAAAATTTAAAAAGTGCTGGACTTGACAGGTGATATGTAGAGGTTTTTGGAGGTAAGTGCAATGTGCAGACAATCCTAAATCTCTGACAAGGTGCATTTGGGACATGATGCCAGGAGTTTCCTATTCTGGAAAGGCACACTGGAACAGCCAGGTCTTCAGGCTCTTCCTAAAGACTGCCAATTGGGGCTTGTCTGATGTCCTTGGGGAGAGAGTTCCAGAGTCGGGGGGCCACCACAGAGAAGGCCCTGTCCCTCGTCCCCACCAAACGCGCTTGCGACGCAGGTGGGATCGTGAGCAGGGCCTCTCCAGATGATCGAAGGGAACGTGTGGGTTCATATATGGAGATGCAGTCACGCAGGTAGGCGTGTCTTCTCTTAACCCTTGGTGTCTTCTCAGCAGTTGATGGCCATTTTATCTAACTCTGTATTTCTGGTCTTTTTTGCAGATAGATCAAAAAGGGCTACTTTGCAAATTACATACTCATTTTTGTTGCTCAGCAGAAACTCCACTGTTTCTACAATAAGTTCCCTTTACCTGTGTCAGCAAGGGTTTTAAGTGTCTTTCTTTTCAGTCACTATACAATGGGCAGACTAACAAGTAATGCACAATGTCTTCTACCTGGCCTTGACTACAAATACATAGTCTGCTCGAACTCTCAATGAACATTGAGAAAACCATCAGCGCTGCCTCCGGAAAATCCTGCAAATCTCTTGGGAAGACAGGCGGACAAACATCAGCATGCTGGAAGAAGCAAAGACCACCAGCATTGAAGCAATGGTCCTCTGCCATCAACTCCGCTGGACCGGCCACGTTGTCCGGATGCCCGACCACCGTCTCCCAAAGCAGTTGCTCTACTCCAAACTCAAGAACGGAAAACGGAATGTTGGTGGCAGGAAAAGAGATTTAAAGATGGGCTCAAAGCCAACCTTAAAAACTGGCATAGACACTGAGAACTGGGAAGCCCTGGCCCTTGAGCGCTCCAGCTGGAGGTCAGCTGTGACCAGCAGTGCTGCAGAATTTGAAGAGGCACGAATGGAGGGCAAAGAGAGAAATGTGCCAAGAGGGTGCTTCAAACCAACCTGAACCGGGACCACCTTCGATTCGGGGGGGGGGGGGGGCTGAGTTTCGGGGGGGGGCTGAGTCTGAGTGAAAGAGGGTCTAGCCTAGCAAACCTTTTGTACCATTACCCCAATACCCCCATGCATATGGGATATATTGATTATGGTGGTGATCAGATCATGATATGAATAAACATAACAGTTTAAATAATGCACCAGTAAGGCTTTTTCACGAACCACCATGAGAATTTCGGGGGGGGGGGGGCTGAAGCCCCCCAAGCCCCCCCCCCCCCCCCCCCAGGAAGGCACGTCA